TAGCTTTGACAATCTATCATTTTTGTACATATCTCTTCTGATACATACCCCCCATCTGTGTATATTCCTGACTCTTCTTCCCCACCCCACAAGAAATGAAGGAAACGCATAGTGTTTAACACATCATACAGACTGAGAATGTGGATCCATGTCTATATTAAGGCATAAAATTAATAGTATTTATTATTCAATGGAGCAAACTGCTATGAATTGCAAGGAACGAGTCTTGTTACAGATGCCAGGTGAATCATAACTTCGATATTTCCTGACGTGTATTTAAAACTCCAGCCTCCAAACAGCATAGAGTATTTCTGGATAACATTACCATGTGTGCATACAACATGTGCATGCAAACTATGCATCCGCACTGACTGTTAAATAGCAGGATTGCTACAGCAGCTGTCCGAGTTGCAGACCCCTCTCTCAAGAAGTCAGACTGCTCCTGTCCAGGCAGATGCCAACTGTCAGCCAGCCAGGGCATGTGCTGATGCTGCCTACATACCCAAACACGGCCAAGTTGTCACCACTTTAGTCAGGTCTGTCAGAATGGCCGTGTGCTGGCATGACAGACACGGTACACAGGGGTAGGAAGGCCTGCAAAGACTGGCACAAGCATCTGGTGGAAGAGGGACAACAATGGTATGACTAGCTGAGTGGCACAGGGATTGCAATGCTGTCCAAAAGAAGAGATTTTTATTGAGAAAAAGGAATGAGTAACTTCTGCACACTTTTCAGAGAAGTCAACAGCAGTGGGTATGTTGTTCCATACAAACTTCACTCCAGTAAACTGCAGTGGACTGTTCTTGGTTCCTTCATTCCTACTAATTTTTAGTAGCGGAAGGGTTGCTACACAGATCTGAAATACCTTGTATGCTGCATTCACTGCAACTTTTGAAATTACAAAACTATACATACTAGAAAGCCTCAATAACCCTCCAGTTGGCTTCTGAACTTGATTGTGTTCAAGATTGCCTGTTTTTCTCCATCAAAATACCCTAACACTTAACTCTCCCTGAGCTGCTTCCTTCCTAGAAGAGTTGGCCACTTTAGCCCTAGTGGTCAGAAGCAGAGGTGGTATTCTCCATCTCCTTTCTTCTGTAATCTGATCTATGCCTTCTTCTCTAATAAACCTCAAACTTTTCAATAAAAGCCCTTTTCGCAATCCAAAAGCAACTGTAGGAATCCTGCAGTAAACCCATTCCTACTCCAGAGAGCCTTCAAGCACCAGAAGTGATAGGGAACTAAAGTTTCAGCAGACATCATGTGGGAAGGGCCTAAATCAATAGTCAGCTACCACGGGCTATTTTATATCTGCTGTGTAAAACTTGGAGGACTTAAAAGAAAGCCAAAATACAGTTGCAGCTATAGTTGTTCTCCATATTTACTAGACCCTTGAACATTTTTTGAGAGGCAGAACCTTACCCTACCTTCAAGCTCCCAACGTTATTACAAGCTGACTTCCCTAAAGCATTTTTCACGAAATCATGCAACCTTCCCAGGCTTCAAACTGGCATGGCAATGGGCTGGTCTCATTCATGGCCTCTTACAACACGTAAGATTACTGGCTTTCAAATTACAAGTCACAGGCTTGGTCAGACAGAAAGCCCATTAGGAAAGCTGCACACAAGATCCTCACATGCAAAGTCACCACAGTTTGCTGGTTGTCTGTGTGGTTCAAAAGCTTATATCAGGCTGTCTAAAAACACTCTGACAAAAAGAAGGAGAACCAGTTAGAGAAGAAAATCAAAGCCTGAGAAGCTGCAAATAACAATAGAGAGAAATAAGTCAGCTAATAATTTTAAGTAAGAGTCATAGCCTTCAAACCTTCCCACAACAGACTTATCACTTGAGCTGTTTACTGAAGATCAGAAAGCCCAACAGTGGATAGCCTTTGATGGTTTTTTTGTTTCTAAAACATACTCTTTTGCAGGTGATTCATAACAATACAAATTCTCAAAGGGAGCCCAGTTATAGTGTGGGAACTCTTAGTTTCCAAAACAGAAGAGAAGGCAGGATCACTAACAAGTTCAAAGTGTTCTTTCAAAACACTCAATCTCATATGCCTCTAAATGAGCACTTTTATTCGAGCCCTTTGTCCACAGTTTCAGGAAACCTAAAAGGGAGTCAACATACAAGTACTTCAGCGGTCAGGAGAACATGGAGGACAAGGACACTCTGAAAGTAAATATTTAGAGTAATGTGCTATCTGCACAGAAGCACAGAATAGTTGAGGCTGGCAGGGATCTCTCTGGAGGTCATCCCGTCCAACTCCCCTGCTCAAAGCAGGGTCAGGTAGAGCAGGTTGCTCAGGGCTGGGACTAGTTGTTTGGAGTATCTCCAAGAATGGGGACTCCACACGACCCTGGGCAACCTGTTCCAGTCTTCAACCATCCTCACAGGAAGGAGTGAGGAGTTTCTTTAGCTCACAAAGGGCTTTCCTTTGTGTCTATTGATTCACTGGTACTGACTCAGTTCTATTTGATGCCTGCTGTCACCAAGGGATATGACGTCACTCACATCAGCAATGACATACAAGGCTACTGACCCATCTACAAGAATGGATGAATGGAGCACAGCTACATGATCAAAGGAAGTTACTGTTCAATGGAACAGGAAAGCTGCATTAGCCGTCTAATTGCAGGCCTGGCAGGATCAACCTGATCAATGTTTACCACTCTGCACAGTGTGCTTACTGCATATAATTGTGTGAAATTGCATTACTCAGCCTACAGCCTCCCTCAGGAGGAGGAAGGAAGGAAAAGGGGCCCAAGGCAAGAGATTTATATCAGCCGAAGTCTATGTATTGATATATGGGAGTGAGAGTGGATCGCTATCGGTGGTTTCTGACCAAGCAATTTTTCTTCTTTAAAAGCATGACAAAGAACAACAAAATAAGATCTCTGCTCATTAGTCTCACCTAGAACATCAGATGAATCCCCTGAGTACGTTGTGAGTGAAATATGCGTTTCCCAAATCATATTCACTGCTGGCCACTGCATATTGCCACCCACACCACTCCTTACTGATCCAGAACCCGGATTCCCTGTTTGTAGCAGTTTGGTTCCTCAAGGCTCCTCACCAAGCAAATGCCTGGGTACGCTAACTGTGAATGCAACTGTTAGCAGCTGCTTTTCACACTGACTGAGGGGGTGCCTATCGGCGAGAGGTAAAAAAATCTGCAGTCATCCCCCCAATCAGTGTTTGGAGCAGACTCACAGCTTCTGTTTATGGGAAGACACTGGCAAAAAAGCTCTCTAGCTACTTCAGTAGCTAGCAGAGTGGGTATTTCAGCCGTAGCTTTTAGAAGCTCTCTTTCATGACACTACATCTTTACTACTTTTTGTTTTTGAGATTCTGAATCCATGCAAACTACTCTGCCATTTAGTACAACCTGACAGATTGGGCAAAAAGAGATGTCTCAGCAACAAAGGATACCCTTTCCAGTGTTTAATATCCCTTTAAAAAAAACACCCCAGGGACAGAGAAGCCAAACGATCTTTAATTTTAGAACAGGGGTATGCAAGAACATCAAAAAGAAGTGCTACTTACTAATAGCCCCTGTGTAGGTTGGCTGTGTAAGGTCTTTTGGCACCTTCCTGTAGATGTCAAACCTGAAAGAGGAAAAGCAACCGCCATAAAACAGGTGGAACATTTCAATACATTTCATGTCCCCACAGGGATGAATGATGCTGAATTTTTTCCATCCAGCTTTCCAACAACATTTTTTCAGTTTGCAGAAGGATATGAGAAGGAAAACCAAACCAAAACAAAAAAATCCTTTGTCTTTTGTACAATTATGTAACGCACTCCTTCTTGGCTCCAATTTCCAAAGCACTTCTCTCCATCTCCCTCTGTCTTGCTGTCACGGATCTGTGCAATCTGAACTGAGAGATGCCAGGGAAAAAGTCACTCTGGACAAGTTTATATATACCACCGTAAAAGGAAAAGGATACTCTACAGACTCCTGAATAAAGAGGCCTGGCAACAAAAAAAAAAAAGTGAGACACAACTTATATTGTCCCTTGTAGTTTGTATCCTGCAATAGTCAGAAATTGACAATACGAAAGTCAGAAACCAAGGTGTTGAGACAAGAAATCTACCCTTGGACAATGGGTACACAACAGAAATTAACCCAAGAAGTTCACTGCTCCCCCAGCAAAATCCAGTTTAATGGTAGACTGTTGTTTTGATTCAGTCATATCTTTTAATATCCACATGGCTCAGCTTTCCTATTTTAAACTCTCCATGGTTAAACTTTCACTGCCCTTATGATGTTAGCTGTATTATTTCCTACAACCTTGTGTTCCTGTACGTCCGGCCGCAATGCAGCTCTGACATCAGTTTTTCCACCACTCAATAAAAAGTAATTAATGCATTAAAAACATACTCACACCCTAAAGAAGGAAGTGACTGGCTCTCCCCCAAAATAGACTTTTTTTGGATATACCACAAGTGGGTGAGATTTGATGCTTTTTCCAGCCCTGGACAGGCATGAGAGACATTGGCTTCCAAATTTCTACTCTATACTGCACCAAGACGAAACACTCCCATGTTTATTCAGTAGTTCCTACTACACCAAATATTATACTGAGAGTTTAAAAACTAGATCATCTTTCTTTTTTTCACTCTTCATCTGTTGAGATCACTTACAACTTGGAGGCACTCTGGGTGAACAAAACAGCATTTGCCTTGCATGAGGTTAGAAGGACGTTGTTGCTGTGTTTCATTCAGGAGTTGAAGCTGGAGGAAGGAAGGGTAAGAGGGGGAAGGAGAGCGGGTATAAAGATAGTTCACCTGCCCAGCTCAAGTCCTGAACAAGCTATGTAAACACTTAACCGTTTCAAGAACACACTGCAATACACTTGACAGGCATGCTGCACAGGATATGCATGGAGCTAATATGTTTTTATGACTCTATTCACTGCCATCTCCTAAATAGATTAGTAATATTCCTGAACCAAACAGTCCATTTATGGCTTTCCAGCTGCCCTGAGAACATCTGGAAAGTGCTGTTTACATTCTTTCCACATATACCAAAGCAACAGCGGATGGTAAAGCAACCCAGAGTAGCTGATGACATCATGGTCTCACAGGCAGAGGAAGTAGCTGATCGTTCCTGCTCACAGCCCATTAAATGCTGAAAGCTGGCGTTGTCTTGCCAAAGTCACAATAATAGATCAACAAGGCTAAAAAAGCTGAGAGAGAAAGAAAGAGAGAGACAGAGAGCACATGAACACGCAAGAGCTGCTGAGTGTGAGTGAACAATTAGAAATAGGAAATAGTTCTATGCTGGATTCAGTAAAAACAGCCACATGTGGATACTATAAAAGGAAATTTGTTCTTACAATAAGAAATATTTACAAGTATTAAAATGATGACCCATCACAGGATTTAAAAAAAAAAAAAGTCTAGCTTTTGGATAACTCAGTGGAAAGTCAATGTCATAGCAGGGTTCTCTCTCTCAAACTGCCATTTTAACCACGTAACACCCAAACCCCACAAATTAAGTTTTACATGCATAAGTAAGCTAGGATTAGGCAAAGACACTACAGAAAGTGATCAATGGCTCCCAGTCACATTTATCACCTGGCTTGAAGTGCTTAAAAGGCAGTCCATCCTCTCTGTGCTATTCTGCTTCCCATCTCTTCTACCACAACGTTACATTCCCTGTCCTACTACCACGACACACATTTAAAAAGGGCTTTAAAAAAGTCTCTGGTTCCAATTTGCCTGGAGTTTTGAGAACTCTTGGGTTTATACTTACAGGTTCAAGCCTCCCTGCAAGCACAGTACTGCACATTCGCAGCAGTTGTCACACGAGGCCCTTAATGCGCTTTAAGGATCACTGAATGTATGAGCACCGTCAGCGTACACAGCTTGCTAGGTAAAGAGCATCCTAGCCTTGAACTTAGACTAGAGGCACATACAAGAGTACAGAACAACCCAGGAGAACTGAATAAAGCTTTCATGGCTTTGTTTTGTAGAATTAACACATTTTAAGATAAGGACAGACACTATGGAATAACACAGAATCAAGAATGGACAACGTATGCAACAGAGGCAATGAGAGCAGACTGGATGGTAAGGAGGAAGGAGGAAAGCTCAGTTGAGATCTTATGGACGATCACAGAAGCTTGAAGGATGACATCCAGAACCTGACTCAAGCAGCAGAAGGGAAGCCAAGCTGGGGAGGTGTGTTTAAGCTTACAGAAGGACACTGAAATGATCACAACAATTAACATTAACAGCAAGAGAACAGCAAAAGACAAGTTTGGAGTAAGAGACAAACACTGCTGTCTAGATTTTGCTCACTGACACATGATACCAGTAAGTCCAAGAGGTTACCAGACCACAAGAAAAAGGACTGGCTATGTGCAAGTATCCTGGCAGAACATTCATTTACTTGGAAAAGACATGCTCTGGATTAGGAGAGTTTACACTTTGGCAAAGGAACAATACTTTTCTGGATACCAGGCATCTTCCCATAAAGCATCTGCTGCTGGCCACACCTTGAGAAAGTACAATTTATTTAGTTTGATCCAGGGTGCTGAAAACAGTAGTTGCGTTTACACATTCAGAGAAGGGCAAGTTGGAAGCCCAAAAGCATAGCAAGACATCGAACTTGGAAGAGAATGATGGAGATGCCGGCACGGCCAAGGAACAGAGCTATCTTAACTCTGATTTAAACTCCAAGTTACAAGAAGATATAAAATGCATAGGATTCAATGATAGCTTGAAAAGTGTGTCTGTGAGACACCACAGACATTAAATCCCAGCAATATGTAGAGGATGGAACCCCAAAGAAAGCTTCATTAATTACATCTAATTATAATAAATAAATCAAGCAAACTGCTCAAACAAATCCATGAAGTTGACAAGAGTTATTGTAACAGGAAACCCTAAGCCCAAATAAATCAGATATTTATGAAAGTCATAGCTCCTATCAGACCTAACGGTTAAAAATCTGATTAACTTCTAGACTCCACTAGTCTTCTGCTTCTGCCAAGACCCTTCTGCTTTTGCCACCATCTTCTTGCCTATGTCACAGAGATCAAAGCAATTTCAGGGGATCACTTACGCTGCCCTGGGAAGAGAAAAGAATAAGGGTTAGACACCACAGATGATTTGTAGTGTATGAGGGAGGAGGTCATGGAGTTGCACACAGGGTAAAGGGGAACAGGTTTTACTTGCCCTCAGGTCAGATGTTCCTGCAAGCACCTGCAGTAAAAATTCCAATATGCCTCCAGGTTCCTGAGGCATTGGTCACTTGGAAGAGTATTTGTACCCTGGGAACAGAGAGGAACCTCATGCTCTGTATGTTGCAAAAGCTGCCTTACAGATTTCTGATACTGACACATTCAAAGCAGTGGAAGATATTACTAATGCTGGAGGAAGACTGGATGTTCAGAAAGGTTACACCAGTCAGCTCATAATGCAGCAAGACACACTGTACTACACTGTGAATATCCACTTTGATAGTCTTATAGTCATATCCTAACAGGCCATGAGAAATCAGGGTGTAGATTTACAGCATGTTCACCACCTTGCAGTAACTGCTAAGTGAACTCTCTTAACCTGCAGTACTGTGCAGCAGTTTACCCTGCTTTCACACAGGGATACATTACTTTACACTTACAAAGCAGGCACATGTACAGTTTTCACAGGACAGCCAGGATGTTATTTATACATAGCTTCTGGAAACTTTCTTCCTTCCCTCAGAAAGTCAAGACTTGCAAGGCGAAGTAATACCTTTGAGTTAATCAACCAGCAGTTGCAGAGTGGAAACTACAAACTTTCTGCTAGGAAAGTTCTTCCTCCAGGTCATACGTATCCTCATAAAGGGAAGGCTGGACCTTGCAATACCAGGACACAAGGCTAAAGATAGAACTAGGCTGTCATCAGTATAACAAAGGAACTTCCTGACACATCTAGTATATCAATTGTCTTTTCTTTCAATGGCGAGCATGGCTGTGAACACAGAAACAAAAAAAGGCTGTTTGGCAATGTCAGAGTTTTGCAGGAACCAACATTCATAACTAACACAAGGGAATGCTACAATACTCAATGTACAATACTCAATCCAATGCTGAAAGGACGTAAAAAACAACAAAAAAACACACACACCAAACTTTCTCACCTTCCTGACAGGAATGTCAACAAACTGGCAAAACAGCATTGTAAAGAAGAGCAGCACAAGGATCATTCCTAAATAGGTTCAAACAGAGAATTCACAAACTTTAGCATGATTAAGCAAGGTCTGAGGCAGAACTCTGGCTGTCTGATGCACAGGGCTGCAACAATCATGTCAGAAATACAGAAATTACATGTTTGGTCTACTGCAGTTGCAGAAGTGGATGGTGAGGTAAAATTGCAGATGGGTGCACCTCAATGGAGCTGAACAAAAGGATGGCAGATTTCAAGTGCCAGTAAGTATGAGAAGGACTTCAAAGCTATGTCTAGACTAATATGGGCTGTTGCTATTCAAAATTTTTTTCGTCAGACTGAAGTATATACTCTTCATGTTCACTTTTCAGGATCTCCTAGAGCCACAGAAAGCATGAAAGTGTTTAACAAGCCAGAGCCAGATGCAGTAGTGCTTATTTGAGTGGGA